CTTGATAAAAAAAGGGAGACAACTACAATCGTGTGAAAAATAAAGGGAAAGTCATGCCCAAATATCGGTACCTCATGACATAAGAGCGATAATCGATTTTTCGATAATTATTCCCAGCACTAATATATATATAATAAAATTCGTAGTTATAGCAGTATAAGAGGCATATCAGAGATATTTATAATGATGTTACATATAACAAAGGTATCAGTGTAAATATCACAGTAGAATAAGACAAAGGCATTACTCTAAATATGACAGTAAGATATCAGAAAGGCATTGCTGCAAATATGAGAGTTTGATATCACAGAGGAATTTTTGTAGATATGACAGATTGATATCACAGAGACATTATTGTAAATATGACAGTAGTACTGTAAATGCTACAGTAAAATATAACAGACACTACTGTAAATATCACAGTTATATATAACAGAGACATTACTGTAAATATCACAGTTAGATATTACAACAGATTCATTACTGTAAATATCACAGTTAAATATTACAACAGATTCATTACTGTAGATATCATAGTTAGATATAACATAGACATTACTGTTAATATCACAGTTAGATATAACATAGGGATACTTTTAATATCACAGTTAGATATAAAAGAGACATTACTGTAAATATCACAGATATTACAGACTATCGTCCACTGATGGAAAGTTAGCCCTCACTTCCAACACTAGCTATCCTAATGGGAAATGAAATGAAATGAATGGAGTTTTAAGTTCTACTTTTCTGCACCATGTGGGCTAATGAAGACGGGCAACGCCATGCAGGGTGCAATGAGGGAAATTTTGCCAGGACAGCGGCATTAGCTCGATTTCCAACTGTCGAGGGATCTTTAACGTGCACAGCCTGTAGCACACGGGGCCTCGGTTTATTGTCCCATCCGAACAACTAGACGCTTTTTCCATGTCAGCCCCTCGTACCTGCATCACTGACAGGGGGAAACCGGGTTGAACCCTGGACCTTCAGGTTAGCGAGAAAGCGTCTAACTCACTGAGCCACCGCGGCTCCCGCTATCCTAATGGGATTGTGTATCAGGAACATGTGTCGACAACATAGTACGATGATCTCCTATCAAATAGATATAGGTCCACAGCAGAAATATTTTCGTTTTCAGCTACTCGCTCTTGTTCATCGAGTTTGCATACATTTCTCCTACGCTTAAAATCTAATTTAAAAAGTAAATGTCCATTTTCAACATCAACTATGTTGATTTAATATATATATATATTCTTGTCATGAATTATATTGAATATATATATATATATATATATATATATATATATATATATAGTCATAATTCATGACTAGAAGAACGACAATTGGGCAATTTCAATTTGGATTTATTTTCCTATGGAATAATCAGATTTGCTTGTCTTCAAGTCAACCTGATTTACCAGAATAGGTCAATAACTGGTTTGTACAGATCGATCCGTTTATTGGCTTGTAGAATAATACGACTTGCATATTTGTTCAAGTTTTCACAGATCAGTATGATAATGAGATTAGCATGTCTGTATAAGATCAGTATTCTGTTCTTAACCTAGTAGTTTGTAGACAAATAAAAAGAAGAAAGTTGGTTCACACATGTCGAAACGTGACCCATGGATCACAATGGGATAAACGTGACTGGCCCGTAGAATAATGAAATTGACTTACTTGACTGTACAAGTCGACATATTTTACTGGCCTGTACTAATGAAGTTGACTTACTTTACTGATCTGTAGAATAATGAGATTTACTTACTAGCCTGTGTGATAAAGTTAACACATTCTACTAGCCTGTAGAATAATGAGTTAGTTGACTTACTTTACTGTACAAGTCGACACCGTTTTACTAGTCTGTAGAATAATGAGACTTACTTTACTGTACAAGTCAACACCGTTTTACTAGTCTGTGGAATAATGAGACTTACTTTACTGTACAAGTCAACACCGTTTTACTAGTCTGTAGAATAATGAGATTGACTTGACTGTACAAGTCGACAAGTTTTTACTGGCCTGTAAAATAATGAGATTGACTTGACTGTACAAGTCGATACGAGTTAACTAGTGCTTAAAATAATGAGACCGACTTGACTGTACAAATCCACACGTGCGTATTGGCCTGTAGAATATTGAGATAGATTTGTCTGTTCAAGTCTACTCTACTGATCTGAAGAATAATGAGATTGACTTGTGTTGACATATCGACATGTTTTTTCACTGACCTCAACTCCAAGTTTACACATTTTAATGGCCTATAGAATAATGAGATTGACTTGTTTGTCGACAAGTTTAACTGGCCTGTAAAATAATGTCAATCTCTACATATCCAAGATCTGTAGAATAATGAGATTGATAAATGTGTTTAGGTCGAAATCATTTAATTGACATATAGAATAACAAGATTGGCTTGTTTGTCAACACCTGCTGACTGAGATACTGAAGACAGAGAAAAACAAACAATATAAACACATAGAACAATATTTTTGAGTAAGTATGACATCTTAAAGTTAGATAGCACACATAGAGAAAAAACAAATTATAGCCTATTTTTCGTATTCTAAAGGAAAGTGTGATAATCAAGAATTACAAAACATCTTGTAGAACAATTTAAAGCTAAATAAATGCATTAATTTTCAAACACGTCAATATCGAATAAAAGCTTGGAATTTCAACTGCCACTTCACTTCCTCTTTGACTTAAATAAACTCAAATATCATAACTCTGATATCCCTTGGGGTCTTAAAAAGTTATACGTAGCCTAATAGAATCTCCTCTGAGAATTCAACTCTTTTTTAAATATTTTCATGTTGAGCTAAAAACGCTAAGGAACCATTTTAGAAAATGGAATATTCCTGAAAAATGTTCATGTGTATTTAATTGGATAATCACTAAAGTGTTTGTTCGTTCCAGATCTGTTCGCACCACGTCAATGCTAGGGACTCAAGATTTTGAACAAATTTTTCACAAAACTTGATAACACATTAATTTAATGAGATCTTGTATGATTTCAATAGTTCAGCAAAAAATCCAACAAAATCGAACAACTTACAACAATCTTGTATTAAAGTCTGTCTTGAAATTCGATCCTGTGTTGGCGTCTTAATTATAACGAAACAAGCTCTGATGCTCTGTTGCATACGACCCACGATATTATACTTTTCTTATAAATGATTACCTCTTGCAGTTGTTCAGTTGATGCAATTCATTTGTTGGTTTTTCATTCATTCTTATTTTGGCGACTGTGTGGGCGTTTTTCTGTATTTTATGAATCTAATACCTAAATGAATGACATTAATTTCCTAATTGTGAATTTTTTGTGATAATTTCTTTGAACTTCAATGTAGCAAGCAATAGATTGGCATAGGTTAAAGTCATTAATAAGGGAACATGTAGAGAGAGGCTACAATATCCAATTAATAAAAATCATCAAATCAAATAATATTAAAAGATAAAGTACCAACACGGACAATAAACATGAATTCTTTTCCGTATACGATGAAATTGGAGTGTGTTGAGGATGTCAATGGTAAACATGTATTCAAAGATATTTCCTTTCCTTCTAATTAAAATCTTTCTTCTTTGAACTGTTTTGATAGAGTACATCTAAAGAAACCAATGAAGCATCGGTAATCGTAATTAGCACAATATTAACATCGCATCCTTATGCCTTTAATAAGAATCTTTACAAGCAGAATCTCTAACAAAATATAATAATTGTAAATGAAGGATTCGCCCACGCTAAAGTGCTCAAAAGAGCAAACAGGCAAGTGTTTGTGATTTTAATAACACTTAAACGTGTGTTTTGAAACAAATGAACCACAAATGAAAACTCTATTGCACTAAGACAAGCAACCACAATAGTGCAGTACAGAGGCCGGAAGAAAGTCCCTCTCGAAAAAAGCCCCTCTACATGTTTGCACCAGGACAATGCACAACAGAAATACCTTTTTGGGAAATTTTTTTTTCAACGAGCACAACGCCAAGCGGAACACCAAATAATCACAAAAGGTAGATCGATGGCTCGATCAAATTGTTCGATATTTTATAAAAGTATTGACCCACAATTTATAACCCCAATTTTTCATCGAATGTCATAAGTATGACAAAAATAAAACAAATGACATGCCATTATAATGGAGTGACATCCTTTCTTTCATTTCTTGAAATTACCAGACTTTTAATTTTCTAGATGAGCTGTGTTTTTAATTGAACATCTTTTTGTAAGGGATTTGATTTGAATACTAATTAAGATCACAAATTCATATCGACCAAATATATACCATGTTCTTACATTGACAGTTCTTCAAAGGAGAGAAAAAATCTTGTGGCATCTCAATTTCCGTTTGTCCATTGCAAGGACTAAAGGATATAAATGGTTGCAAGGAAGTAGCGCTATCCAAGATTAAATCAGGCAAAGGCGTGAACTTCTGGATCGTGGTCGTCGTTTCAAACGTGAGACATATTTGCCTCCGTTATGATACCGATTTGGGTTAAGGCCCTTTTCTTTCTATCGTAATAAATAAGACGTAAAACTCATTTCATTTCATTTTCTATCATTACAAAGGTCATATTTACTCCTAGTAAAGACAATTTATTTCCTAAATAAGATATATATAACTCAGTTACCCTCTAAAATATTAGGTCACTGGCTGTACACATTACCTGAGTTGGTGTTTCCAACATTGCTCTCTTCCATTCCACAATCATTTGCGAATGTGGTAGGGGAGATAGAGATTTGTTTTTCTTCCATTTGCAAAACATATATTAGATTACTAATAGTTGAGCGGAAAAGAGGACCTTCTGTTAGGCTTTCGTTTTTACAAAAATTGTAACAATTATTATGTGAATAAGTTGCATTTCAAGGTCTGATTGTGTTGAGGGTCAGGCTTTCCTTCCAGCAAGTTAAAATCAATATGCTAACATAACCAAAACTATTCACGTTTTTCAAACGCCTTCCTATAACTGTTCATTAAATAGAAATATTAACGTACCTTGTGCGAATGTGTTGAATTTGCAGAAGAAGGCACCAAGAATCCAGCCTTCTGTTAAATCATCTAATAAATGGACCCAAGAACAAGTCAATACGACTAATAAATCAGCCACAGCCAAATTAACAATATAGTAGTTAGTAGTAGTCTTCATCCGTTTATTACGCGCTACAACCAAAATCACCAACAAGTTACCAAACAACGCCATAACAATAACCGGCACATAAAATGCTATCTTTAAGACCATCTCCCAAATAGGATAGGTTCGTATTTCGCCAGGGTATTCCCTTTGAGAATAATCAAACTCTCCGTAATCTAAGAAATCATCTCCACGTTCCTCTGATAACAATTCACTATAATTACCCATGGAGGATAAACTTCCACCAGGGAGGCTGGAATCCGACAAATTTGTGTCCAACATATTTGTAAAATTGTCCCCTAAATACGACGACATTACGATGGTATTTTCAAACAAATTCATTTTAAATGATTGTGGTATTTATGTAACTATGTCTGTTAATAGATTACCAGATTTTCAGGATAACACTAATGATTCCCCAGAGGCTTCCATATCTATTGACCAGACTTTACCTTGTACCAGTTAACGCTTTATCTCCCGCTATGTCCAAATAAACTCGTTTTTTTTATCCTTGCCGGTGTCTTTAATGATACTACGAAAGGCGCTAGTTGGTTAATAACACCTTAATAATTCATGTTCAATCAACTTTTTTATATCTTTTTATTCAAAATTTTTCTCTTTCCGACATTAAATATAATGAGTTTGAGCTAAATGTCCAGAATCTTTGAAATATTCATATCCATTAATCTATTTTAGCCTCTACAATCACTGCAAAAGAAAAAAATCAGATTAGTTATTCATAATTTATAAAATTCAACAGATCAAATCACTCTCCAACTGTGGTAAAAAAAAAGGAATTTATAAAAATGATATAGAATATAAAATAATATTAGTTCAAAATATGTCGTCTTTTCATCTGATATTTTTGCAAGTTGTGTTTTAGGACGTTGATCTTTCCAAGCTTTGAATCAAGATAGCATTATGCCTCTTTAACTTCATTTCAAATATGTTTTAATCGATAAACGTTTCACTTTTTTTGACTCCCATGAACAGTTAACTCTAACACCCGAAGGCGTAGACTTTTTCTAGTCAAATTCGAAAATAAAAGACACATTCACTAAATGTTTGATAACTTACACAGTCTATAGTTTCCGAACAGTGGAAGCTATTAGTTAGTAGCCACTGGAGTTAATAGAAGGGGATATTTATCTATTCATATCCGACTTCCAGCAACGACTGACATCGCCAGAAACTAAATATCCTTTTACACGTAAATGGAAAAATCGAGTATCGAAGCCTGCTGCTGCTAACGGATTGCCCTTTCCAGACTTAAGATAAAAGTAAACGTTTCTTGCGAAATCTGTCCGCGTCTGTTACTTACGAAGGTTGAACACGCCAACCAAGGAAATTATTTAATATACAAAGTATCAGGTAACACGGGCTTTTAATATGACACGTTTAATGAATTAAGATTATAAATCTTTAAAGCTCGTTAATCTCTTTCTTGGGCGTACGACCGACTTTTCAACTGTCTTTTTTTTGCATAACTGCACAAGGTACATATGTACTTTGCTTTCTATGCTGCAGTGATTCTTCGCGGTTATTGATTGCAGATTGTGTCCTCAGTCGGCTTTTAACAGAGAACATCTCTACAGATCCCCGTTTCATGGCACCTTAACCAAGCTTGAGTCATATTTGATTTCAACACTCTCTGGAGTGGTTTTGCTTCATATAGCCTACTGACAACATATTTAACGTTAAATAATTTAGCATAAAAATGTTTCTGAAAAACAAATAGTTTTATGCATCAATTAGTGTAGGCTAAATATATTCTAGCGTTAAAGAACCATGGGTGAACATGAAATAAAGCGAAAATGAACACAGACCCGGATTCGATCAGGACCTTGGAAACCGCATGTGTCTGTTCGTATGTGTATATAATTGAAAAGCTATGACAAAGTACCAATCCGTATACCTTGAAGTATATTGAAGTGATTTGGGAAGGTGAACATAACCCGCCTGGAAAGCGATACTCATTATTTATTTAAATTACAAACAGCAAGGAAAGATTTTTTCAAGAATTTACCATAAATTCAAGTTAAATAAATAAATACATAAATTTAGTATTTAAAAGTTACAGAAGCCGTGCTGTTTAGCACCAGAAATCCGCTTTGTACTTTGTACAGCCATAACATTTCTCTGCGGGCCCACAACGATGTCTGTTTTTGAAAAAAAAAATTGAAAGAGATCATATGTTTATTTGAAATATTCATGTCGTAAATAATGTTAACCTCGACGCCTGCCTGATTTGATAAGATTTTAAATGTTGTTTTGAAATTATTTTTTTATCAACTTTAGACCATAACGAAAGATTTTTAAAACCTTATTTCATTTGATAATTCATTCTGTAGTTATTCATATCTCACTCTCCTTAGACTAACGGGGATGGGGAAAACCTTAACTTTTCCATTAAAACTTAGCGCTTGATGACGTCACTTATCGCAAAGGGCTTTATATGATTCAAGCATATTTTGCGATTAGTGACGTCAACAAACAGTTGCTTTTAGTAGAATTGAAGGAACCACAGAAATCTGATTGAAAATTTCAATGGTGCAAATTGATGCTATCAGTGTCTCAGAAGAAATTAAGAAAACTTCATTATAATCCCTTTAAGTACTGCTAGGTCTTTAAGTGAACTTTTGAAAAGGTACAAAGAATTAACTTACCTTTATAATTAATAGAGTCACGTAAGTTCCATGTATGACCAGACCTATAAGTTGCGTTCTTAAACGTTAGTCACGTACCGTCGTATATTTTAACAATAACTTTTACCGATTACACCAATCCTTCAAATGATTGGTTAATGATTCTTGTAATCAACCAATGGCACCTGCTTCAAGAATAATCGATGATTTAAGACGATCAGTAGAAAGAAATGGTACTCGTGTTAACATGGTTAACATATACTCATACAGATCTTGTCTAGGGAAGATATGGCAATATAAATCTTATTCAGTGTTTACCATTTTATACGAATCTTTTAGTTATTAGTTTTTCTAATTGTAGTTTATGTGTCCTAGGTTTAAAGGGATACAACCATCTAAATAATTGATCTAACAATTGACTGAATTTTTGCCAAAAGAGTAGAGTCCTCTTTTGGACGAAGAAACCGTTTAACCCTAACGACATAATTTTGTTGTACCAGAAATGTATCTTAGTGATTTAACCACGAAACAGATTTTCTGGGTATTTTTTTGCAGATTAAAATTTCAACGAACTCCAGAGTAAATTTAAAATTCTCCCCAATAAACTAAAATGTATCTAATAGAAAAAAGCTGTTAAATTGTAACTTCACTCCCTCAAAATACTCAAGAAATGACAACAATAACTGAGGAACAATGCTGATCGATTATTAATGATCAGTCTTCGGGTACAAACCGCATACAACCATTGATGTTTTAAAAGATGATTTCTAGCTTGAATGTTATCTACTGTTGTAATAATCTGGTCACGTTTTTCTACAATGACTGGAACCACATTACAGTCGTCCAAAGGGGTGTATATAGTGCCCCCTTAGCCGAAGCATCAATAATGGTAAAAAGATCCTTTTATGGCTGCAAATCTGCACAAATCAAGTACTTTCTAGTAGATCTGTTGTTTCTTCCATTTTGAGAAGTAAATAAATAGTAAGAAGTTGCTTTCTTTGAAATGCGTTACTGTACAAAATCTGTTTTGCTCCAGTGTTTATTAGGGAAAGGATATTTGTATATGCATGACTTGTCCACTTAAGTTTTAGGTAGCGTTAATGGTAACAATTTAAACAAAAATTCAAACAATATTTGATCTAAAACTATACAAGAAATCGTTTGGTTCAACTGAATGTAGGACTTTGAAGGTAAATATCTTTATTATGGTTGAATATCACATTTTCTTCTGCTTGGTAAATTTCGAAACATTTAATTAAAAAATATAGACGGAAGAAGGAAAGGATAAGAGAGGAAACTAGAAGAAAAAACAGAACAGAGGATTATGATACGTATTTTTCTTGGGGGAAACGGAGAAGAATGAAAGAAAAAAAGAAGTTGGGGTTAAAGAGGGATTAAATAAATTCCATATATATCGGTTTGTCTGCTATTAAAAGTATATATTCTTATAGATGAGTCAAATGACTGAGGGAAAATTCACCTTCGAAAATGATGTAGTATACAATCTACAGTGGATTGATTGATAGAGGATTCTTTTTTCACTGTGCTGTCCGACGTTGATGATGCACCATAGATAACATTCATTTAATGTAGTTGCTCGTCTTCTACTAAACAGTGCGCCAACAGTCAGTGTCCTTATCCAAAAAATGGTCTTAACTGTATGACAGCATAAACAGTTACCATGGACAAACTTGGTGCAATGCATAGGGAGTTTTGATCATGGTGCATCATGTTATTTTGTTCACGAGGGCATGTCTTGACACCATCGACACGTCTTTCACCTTTGATTCTATCTCAAAAGTCTCACATTTAGAATCGGTAGGAGCTCAAATCTGACTTGGGTAAGATTTTCTGGAAATTTTGACCGTATTTTAGATTTTGACTCTTATCATCCAAAAGAAAATAATCAGTGACCCTTATATAAAAAAAAAATCCATAAAACGGTAGGGAAAATAGGTTTTGAGAAATCTACTTGGCATGTCCTTAAATCACATAACATTTCAAATAATTTTTCCCGTGGACAGATTATTGTTAAAGGGCCATTTTCGGAGGCTCATTTGGGTCTTGAATATACAATATATGTAAAGAGTCTTCAGAAGTACTAGAATTGTACGAAAATCGCACAATTCCTTCAAAAAGACTTCAAACTAGAAATTTCCCATTCTATTTCTATATACATGTACATTTATGTTCTTTAGTCTAAGGTATGATTGGTAAATCGGTTGGCGAATCTGTCCCCTTAATTTAGCAAACAGAATTACATAATACTGTTTTAGCAATTCACGAATTCAGATACAGTACTGTACAGACATTGTAGTATTGTTTAGGATTTCATCCCTTATTTTGTTCAGATACTGAGAGTCTTATCCAATACTGACTGGGGAGCCGACCGAAAGGTCCTCCTCCGATTGTATCGAGCTTTGGTTCGTTCCAAGCTCGACTATGTATGGATCAGCTCGTCCATCCTATATCAAAGAGCTTGATACCATACACCATCAAGGACTTAGAATCAGTTTAGGTGCGTTTCGCAGCACTACTCCAGATGAAAGTCTGTACGTCGAGGCTAGCCCTCATTGTACGACA